CCCCCAATTCTCTCAAAAAGTCTAAACCCATAGAGAAATTGGGGGGGGGGAATACACGTTACATTCTCGAAGCTAAAACTAAGTCTCGACTAAAGCAACGACGATTTACTCAGAGGAGCTTGATGTGTAAAATCTCGCTAAAGATGCTGTAAAGTCCGTGATGTAAACAAACGCTTTCTCTACATTTGAACTGCTATATTTGTAAAATATGATATACTAACTGAATATCTAACACGTTTTTGGTTCGCTATGCTTGTAATTGAAGATAAAAAGCCTTCGGAAGATGCAAAGTTTGGGCAATGTTTATATCTGCAGGTCCGTCTCACAGATGGTTTTCCTTTGTTATGAGCAGAACTGATGCGCAGAACGGACTTTACAGTATCTTTAAAGATGCAGAGAAATGCAGAGAAATGCAAAGTCCTTAGTATCACCAGAAAACGCTACCCAATCGTTGCTGAATACGTCATCGATGCCCGAGCTTTGCAGCACGTTCCCAGTCAGAAAGACCTTGGAGTGACAGTTTCTTCTGACCTTACATGGACTATCCACATACACGAGAAGATTACCAAAGCGAACCGTATGCTTGGCATGCTGAAACGTTCGACAGTTCATGTTAGAGATGCAAGCACTAGACGTAGTTTATATCTGGCATTAGTCCGATCTCACCTGGCCTATGCGTCACAGGTATGGAGCCCACAAACCGTAAGCATGTGTGGTGAATTGGAAAATGTTCAAAGGAGGGCAACTAAATTCATCTTGGCTTTACCTTTTGAAACTGACACTTGCTATAAATCAAGATTGTTGGCCTTAAACTTGTTACCACTGAGCTACTGGCACGAATATATGGACGTTCTCCTTTTATTCAAACTTACACGTGGATTTAATTCATCTGACCTCAATATCCTCCCAGAACAAAACAACAAATTAAGGATGAACCTACGGTCACAAAATACCACCCTCGTGACATATCATATACCAAAAACTAAGACACTCTGCTATCAGAACAGTTATGCTGTTAGAGCTTCACGGATATGGAACACTCTTCCCGATGAATTACGTCTACCA